ATGTACGAAACTAAACTTTTAACTTCATTTCAGAAAACATTAAATCCGAACTAAAACGATAAAAACAGAGGCTTTGTCGCATTTAAACACCACGAAATTGTTGAAAAGCGCCATCCCAACTCTCTATCAAAATGTTTGGAAGTTTTGAAATTTTTCAAGTAGCCGCCATCAGATTTTCCATGCAACTACCTTTAATGCTGCTATAAGCACAATATACTACATATAGCTTCCACAATTTATTGTTCCACACTCTCTTTAACATGTTGTGCAAAAATACCCTCATTTTCTACACTTAAAGGTTGGTAGGTGTATCGTCACAAACATCCAGCATCAATATACGTCTACAAATGTAGAACGTTTTCATTGGAGATGAAGCAGTATATGCACGCCTATACTTGTTTGGAAAAAGCAAAAAGCACTACAGCTGACAAGTAGGATCAATGTGAGGTAAATGGATACAGGAGTTTTGTGGTGAATAACAAAAAAACAGCACGACATCCTCATATGGCTGTTCCACGTTCGAGGTCTTCCTGAAATAAGTGTTTTTTTTTTCAAATTCCTTGATTTTCATTTATTATTTCCACTATTAGGTCTTTAGTGATAGCGCTAACAATGCTTGATAGATAGAGTATTCATTTGTAAACTTCAAACAGCAGAACACCAGCAGATTAAATATATCGATAAAAAATTATGTTATTCAGCGTAGAATGGATATAACACTAGTCTAGGTAAGGCCTTACGTAGAAATACTAAAATTGATTCTGTTCCATAGCAAGATGAATTTGATAGCGAAAACAAAGTTTCATGCAAAATCAATACTGAAGTTGCAAGAAACAAGAAACTCGCCTTGATGTCTTCGGTATACTGACCATAAAACTTCTCGAGCTTCTTGTTGAACCGCATGTTTTTGTCGTTGATATAGTCGATCGGTGCGTCCGGGTCGAACATACGACGGCGATGAAACTGTTCTCGCCGCTTCACTCTGGAAATGTGTGTACTGAGTCGTCAAAAGGAGACATACCTTTATCAAGAAAAAACACGTACTGTCCCTGAACCTCGCTAGCGAGCTTTTCCATAGCTGCAGATGTTGGATAATGTGAACCATGGATTAAAGTATTTGCAGTTGGGTAAAATTGTTCTTCACCCCTGGAAAAATGACAAGAATTCTATGGCGAGAAATAAAGAAGTACAAACCTTCAAAGACCACTTACACTATCTGTCGCATCTTTTTATAAGATTCCGCATCGGGCTTCAAAGAAGTTGTTAGACGAGTATGCTGACGGAGCGTCATATCTTCATAACCTGGAAATGACATTTGCCCCTGACAGGTAGTAAGCAAATTTGAAGCACTGAAAAAACGACATCCACAGCACTCA